TCAGAAATTCAGAAATTCAGAAATTCAGAAATTCAGAAGACGCGCAATATCAAAAATTTCAAAAAACCTACAGTAACCAAATCCAATTGGCTCTAGTGTCAACTGATTGACGAGTGTGTCACACTCGTCACCAATGAATCCACGTGGACAACGACAGAGATGTGTTCCAGAAGCTTCGTAGCAGATTCCACGGAATCCGCACGATTTGGAGCACATATGGAGCTCCGTTCGAACACTTATAATTGCCATCTTAGCTGGAAGTTTCTTTTGGAGGTAATTTGGAGTAATTAAGGGCAAGGGTAATTTAGTGTAGAAAAATGGGAAATCCTATTTTCTAGAAATTCTATGAAAATAATATTTTGCTGATAATTTCTAATTTTCTTCGAATTTTTTTTAAAGAGAGCTTTCAGACATTCTGAAGAGTGTTCTCTTGAAATTCAAAAAAAAAGAACGACCTTTTTTCTCAAAAAGGAACTAGACAAATTTGCTATAATTCATCAATCACATGTTGAAAAGTGAGTGGCACACCTGCCAATTTTTGGATTTTCTCGGAATTTTTTCGGTCAGAAAAGGTTCAGGCGATTTTATGGAGGGAATTTTCAAAACTTGTGGAATGACAGGCCCGCCGGGCCGGGCCTTTCTTTTATTGGACTAAAGAGATATTAATGTTGCTTGAATTTCTGCACATCAGTGAATATATGTTTCAGAGTGAATACTCTTCCAGTCATCTGAAAAAAATGTTTTCTGGAAAAGCTGAAAATTGAGAAAAAATATATAGGAAAAAGAGCGAAACTGATAATATCAATGTTAAACGTAGAAAGTAGAAAGAGAACTGTGTAACATAGAGAACTCCCATGAGGGGTTGAACTCATGACAAGCAGCTCAGGGGTACAGCGCCGCTACCGGCTGAGCTACGGGGGCGCGAAAGCGCCTGACGACCGATGATCTACATAAGCGCGGCGCGATTTCGGCCCCCGAACTGCCCCCGAAATTTTTGCTGTCTCGCCTCCTTTAAATCAAATCTGAGCAAATTTGGGCATGTTTGGGCTCATTTTGAAGTTTGTAAAATGAGAAATTGTGATTTTTTAAACTTTTTCACTTTGAAATGAGTACAGGAGCATCAAAATGAGCCCAAACACTTGCCTCTTGTTTATTCTTTGCAAAGAAAAAAACAACTTACCAATACACCATTTAAAAAATAGCTTGCGGTATTCAGAAAAATAATAAATAGAACATTTCTAAATCACAGGAATTCATAGAGAATAATATAGAAAATAGTCTGGAAAATCAATAGGAGACATCTGCACACGACGTCTTTTCAAAACACAAATGGTACTAGTGACTGTTTGAAAGGGAAGACGAGAGAATTGGAGATTTAGAGAAACCAAGAGAGAGAGAGCAGGGGAAATGAAGAGAGTTCTGGAGAAAAATGATGCAAGTACAAAGGTCATAAAAAAGAGAGATGACAGGCCGGTCGGTGGCGAACACTTTTTATTTGTGGGAAAAATCGATTTTCATGTCATGTTTGGGCTCATTTTGATGATCTCGTGCTTGTTTAGAATTTGACAACTGTGAAATTTGAAATGTTTCATAGCTTCAAATCAAGCCCAAACACGTCTTGATTTTCTGGGAATTTGTATTGCTATCTTTTCAATTTTTTTTGGAATCGTGTCATACTTAATTATTTTTTGGAAGTGTTAATATGATAACTGTAAGATAGCTTCAAGAACTTTATTGCTTTCTTTTTGAATCACGACAATAACGAAACTGTTTCTGATCTAGCTGAAAATCAAGAAAATAAATATGAGAAACTTATAAGAAGTAGTGAATTTCAAAATTTTCAATTCTCGGAGGAAAAATCAAAAATGAATCAAATTTCTGTAATTTATCACAGAAAAATTTCAACTTCTGATAAATAGCATAATCGCTGGGTTTTTTATCAGAAATATTTTATTTCAACGTAATCACGGGAAATATGGTATTAATTACATTATTTTTGCTGATTTTCAGTTTTTTTAATTTTTATGGTTTTTAGTTGGCTTTCAGAAAAGGAACACTTCAATTTTTGCAAAAATATACGTGGTTCACAGAAATATAACGTTTCAATTTCTGGGATTTTTCCCAGAATTCGAACGGTTCGAGTTCTGGGATTTTGGGGATATTCACGTGATTCACAGAATTCGAGTTCTGGGATTTTGGGGATTTTCACGTGATTCACAGAATTCGAGTTCTGGGATTTTGGGGATTTTCACGTGATTCACAGAATTCGAACGGTTCGAGTTCTGGGATTCCAAAAAAAGAGAAACGAATGTGGAAAAAGGGGGCATAAAAATTATAATGATGGGAGATAAAAACAAAAGAAACATGAAGAAGTGTGCTAGTTTTCCATTATCATGTCATCCGTAACAACTGGATTCGGTGGCATTCTTCCAGCATTGAATCCTTGAGATTTCAAATATTGCAGAATCGTCGTGTGTTCAGTGTCAAAATCAATGTTTCCGTGAGATATCGTGGTAGATGATGATTTTTCTTTGATAAGTTGCAACGTTCTTAGATAAGCTGCAAAACCAAAGATAATTCAAGTATTCAACTTTACGTACATTTCTTTCCATAGCTGGAAACTGAATCTTCAAAATTGTCCTTGTTGTTTNGCNANAACATNGATCCTCCATGTTTGAAGAGAGCCAAGCATTTCTCCTGAACACCTTCAATACATGGACGGCGAATATCAGGTTGGAATGTTGATGGATCATAGGTATCCTGAATGATCCAGTTTTTACTTGTATAAATTCACACGCAACATAGATATATATTCACACGCGACATAGATATTGGATTACACGTATCGAGATACGTGCCAAGAGCTGATTGGATTGTTTGTTGATTGGTTTCTGTTGTTCTAGAATTCCTCTGTTCTACAGATTTTTTCTAATATAATATAGACATGCTGTTCAAAAGCAAGATAAAAGATAAAGTAATATTTTCTACGGTTTCTCCTTTGAATACATTGCCGAGGGCATTGAATAAATCACGGATGGATGTTATTATTGACAAAAGCTTCCTGAAAAAAAAGAATTGGAAAGTTGTGAGTTCATATTGAGTCTCTTCAAACATGGAGGATCAATTTTCTCGCAAAACAACAAGGATTGTAGCTGAATAGCATTCTGATGCCTGATTCTATCCCACTCTTCTCCCAAATCATTTTTCTGTATGCGAATGATGAAATATTAGGTTGTTCCGAAAGTCTTTTACATTTTTTGACATTTTTTCAACACAAATTTATTCAACGTATGAAATATTTCAGTGAGTAATATATTCAGTATTATGGTTCATCACAACCTGCCAACGTTTTGCTAGATGATCTAGATCTTTTTTTTTAATTTAAAGGAAAAAGAAAAACTTGTATAAATAAAAGAAACATAATCTTTTTAAAATGAAAATGGACACTTAGAAAGAAGAAACTGGTTTTAATGAACGAAATAGAGATGAGGAATAATATTCTACGCTTTTCATTGCTAATTCTAAAATTCGAAGTATATTTTTGTGTATTAGTCATAGAAAGAGATGAAAAAGACGAGTTTCTTATTGCTAAGTGTTAGTTGTTATAACATGAAATAGATGATAAAAAAAACGATTCATTCTGTTGTTCTTTAAATATTCAAAACAAATTTTTGTAAATTATCAGATTCATTTCAGCATTATCAGAATTTGAATTAATACAGAAATTACATTTTTGTTGTTAAAAAGAATTAATGAATTGCGAACAAAGAACAATAATTCAATTGAGAAGCTCTGCAAGAATTTTTGGGTCCATTTCACTGGGATCCGCTGGAATAACTGAACGAATATCCGCTTTTGATTTGATTTCATCCAGGCATTGTTTCTGAAAAAAGTCAATAAACTGCTCACTTTTAAATTATTCGTCTAAAACTCACTTTCAATTCTTCCAGTCTATAATTTCCAGCCAACTCCAGCTTCATTTTCAGTCCCTTTTTTGATTTTTCAAGCAAAAATTCCTCGCATTTTTTGACAATTTTAGGAGTGTCGAACATATCAGCCACTGATAAAATTCCTTGGACAGTATAATCTGAAATTGCTCTTTTCAAAATATACGGTAAGTACAGGAACCCACCATCAATTGCATTTTCTAGATGTAGAACTTCCAAATAGTACTGGAAGTCTTGAGGATTGACATCTTTCAATTCGATTTCTGATTTTTCAGATTCTTGAAATCTTCCCAAAAATAAAGTTGCAAAATATGGAGAATGAGAGGAGAGGTACTGAAAAAGTTGAATAAATGAAAATCAAAAACTGAAAAAATGACTCACCAACTTCGAAATATAGAATTTCCGATCTTTTACTTTCAATGTGACATCGGAGAACTGTTTCATATCCTCTCCGAAACTTCTTAAATCTTTTCTGGGAAATTCATTCGTTTCTTCCGAAAAGCCAACCATTTTATTTATTATCACATGAAGTTCCACTTCCAATTTTCCATCATCCAGATATTCATCTTCCAAAGTTCTCCATTCAATGAATTTGTTCCAACCCCAATTATCCCGGTCGTTTTTGAATAAACTACTCCCAGACTTTGAATGATTTTTTTCCCGGTTTTTCGAGAATATTCTCAGGGTATTATTAGTGTGAATTTCTTGATTTCCCGTCACATTTGTGCATAAATACATTGCGAGGTGTTCGTTCTCTTTTCTAATACGTATTTCCCTGCAATTGAATTGACATACAAATATAATTTAAAAAATGAGCAATAAGACCTACCATTTGACTCCAAAATGTTCTTCTTCTGGACTATAGCGAACTTTTTCTGGACTGAAGAGATCTTGATTTTGCTTGAATTTCTCAACATCGAATATATGTTTCAGAGTGAATTCTCTTTCAGTCATCTGAAAAAAAAAGTTTTCTGGAAAAGCTGAAAATTGAGAAAAAATATATATGAAAAAGAGCGAAACTGATAATATCAATGTTAAACGTAGAAAGTAGAAAGAGAACTGTGTAACCAAAAAGTGGGGGAAGGGAGTGATAAGAAATTCAGTGATTAGCAATTTTTGTGCACAACTTATTCAAAAAAAGTTCAAAATTAGATACTTTGAGACAGTTTTTGAGAATCACAGGTAAATTTTTAAATCAGAAATCATGCATTTTGAAGTTTCAGTTTTCCGATTTTGATTTATGTAAGAAGAAAGATTGATATTTCAGAAAATAATAAGTTTTTAGTGCCCAGTTTTCTGATAATTCTTGAATTGATAAGATGAAAATGAGGTCTTTTGAAATTGAAAAAAAAAGAAAATTGAAAAGAGAAGAGACAAACAATTTAAGAGTTAGCAAGGAAAACGGGAAATTTCAACACTGATAAGAATAAAATTGATTTGATTTCATGACGTATTTGAACGAAAAGAAGTGAGAATGGATTTTTTAAAATAATTGTTTAAAAAGAGCTCTAGCATACCATATTACCCCAAGTTATAAACTTTTGGGTGACTTTGGTTTGTAAGTAGCAGGCTTGTTCGGAAAAACAAATCGTGTTCTCGAAAAAGTCAATAAACTGCTCACTTTTAAATTATTCGTCTAAAACTCACTTTCAATTCTTCCAGTCTATATTTTCCAGCCAACTCCAGCTTCATTTTCAGTCCCTTTTTTGATTTTTCAAGCAAAAATTCCTCGCATTTTTTGACAATTTTAGGAGTGTCGAACATATCAGCCACTGATAAAATTCCTTGGACAGTATAATCTGAAATTGCTCTTTTCAAAATATACGGTAAGTACAGTAACCCACCATCAATTCTATTTTCTAGATGTAGAACTTCCAAATAGTACTGGAAGTCTTGAGGGTCGACATCTTTCAATTCGATTTCTGATTTTTCAGATTCTTGAAATCTTCCCAAAAATAAAGTTTCAAAATATGGAGAATGAGAGGAGAGGTACTGAAAAAGTTGAATAGATGAAAATGAAAAACTGAAAAAATGACTCACCAACTTCGAAATATAGAATTTCCGATCTTTTACTTTCAATGTGACATCGGAGAACTGTTTCATATCCTCTCCGAAACTTCTTAAATCTTTTCTGGGAAATTCATTCGTTTCTTCCGGAAAGCCAACCATTTTATTTATTTTAACATGAGCTTCCACTTCCAATTTTCCACCATCCAGATATTCATCTTCCAAAGTTCTCCATTCAATGAATTTGTCCCAACCCCAATTATCCCAGTTGCCCCCATTATTTTTGAATAATCCACTCCCAGACTTTGAATGATTTTTTTCCCGGTTTTTCGAGAATATTCTCATGATATAACTAGTGTGAATTTCTTGATTTCTCGGCAAGTTTGTGAATAAATACATTACGAGGTGTTCGTCCAATTTTTTAATTTTTATTCTCCTGCAATTGAATTGGCATACAAATATAATTTAAAAAATGAGCAATAAGACCTACCATTCGACTCCAAAATGTTCTTCTTCTGGACTAAAGAGATATTGATGTTGCTTGAATTTCTCAACATCAGTGAATATATATTTCAGAGTGAATACTCTTCCAGTCATCTGAAAAAAATGTTTTCTGGAAAAGTTGAAAATTGAGAAAAAATATATATGAAAAAGAGCGAAACTGACCATATTGTTTATTTTCACATGAAATTCCACTTCCAATTTTCCATCATCCAGATATTCATCTTCCAAAGTTCTCCATTCAATGAATTTGTTCCAACCCGAACGATACCAGTGGTCCCCATCATTTTTGAATAAATGACTCCCAGACTTTGAATGATTTTTTTCCCGGTTTTTCGAGAATATTCTCGGGGTATAATCAGTGTGAATTTCTTGATTTCTCGGCAAGTTTGTGTATAAATACATTCCGAGGTGTTCGTCCTTTTTTCTAATTCCTATAACCCTGCAATTGAATTGAAATACAAATATAATTTTAAAAATGAGCAATAAGACCTACCATCCGATACCAAAATGCTCTTTTTCTGGACTATAGAGATATTGATCTTGCTCGAATTTCTCAACATCAGTGAATATATGTTTCAGAGTGAATTCTCTTTCAGTCATCTGAAAAAAAATGTTTTCTGGAAAAGTTGAAAATTGAGAAAAAATATATAGGAAAAAGAGCGAAACTGATAATATCAATGTTAAACGTAGAAAGTAGAAAGAGAACTGTGTAACCAAATAGTGGGGGAAGGGAGTGATAAGAAATTCAGTGATTAGCAATTTTTGTGCACAACTTATTCAAAAAAAGTTCAAAATTAGATACTTTGAGACAATTTTTGAGAATCACAGGTAAATTTTTAAATCAGAAATCATGCATTTTGAAGTTTCAGTTTTCCGATTTTGATTTATGTAAGAAGAAAGATTGATATTTCAGAAAATAATAAGTTTTTAGTGCCCAGTTTTCTGATAATTCTTGAATTGATAAGATGAAAATGAGGTCTTTTGAAATTGAAAAAAAAAGAAAATTGAAAAGAGAAGAGACAAACAATTTAAGAGTTAGCAAGGAAAACGGGAAATTTCAACACTGATAAGAATAAAATTGATTTGATTTCATGACGTATTTGAACGAAAAGAAGTGAGAATGGATTTTTTAAAATAATTGTTTAAAAAGAGTTCTAGCATACCATATTACCCCAAGTTTTAAACTTTTGGGTGACTTTGGTTTGTAAGTAGCATATGATTGCAGTTTTGTTCATTTTTGAGCTTCATTTCTGATTTTGAAGGTTCCAAGCTTCAATACGAAACTAAAAGTTTTTAGTGCCCAGTTTTCTGATAATTCTTGAATTGATAAGATGAAAATGAGGTCTTTTGAAATTGAAAAAAAAGAAAATTGAAAAGAGAAGAGACAAACAATTTAAGAGTTAGCAAGGAAAACGGGAAATTTCAACACTGATAAGAATAAAATTGATTTGATTTCATGACGTATTTGAACGAAAAGAAGTGAGAATGGTTTTTTTTTAAATAATTGTTTAAAAAGAGCTCTAGCATACCATATTACCCCAAGTTTTAAACTTTTGGGTGACTTTGGTTTGTAAGTACGTCCAATTTTTTAATTTTTATTCTCCTGCAATTGAATTGGCATACAAATATAATTTAAAAAATGAGCAATAAGACCTACCATTCGACTCCAAAATGTTCTTCTTCTGGACTAAAGAGATATTGATGTTGCTTGAATTTCTCAACATCAGTGAATATATATTTCAGAGTGAATACTCTTCCAGTCATCTGAAAAAAATGTTTTC